TAGGGGATATTTGATTTTGGGGGCATAATACTAAAATATGCAAATGACTACGAAAAAAGTCACTATAGAACCTAACAGAAGAAACATTTCCAGTTACATGTGACGCCCAAACGCACCAATAGCTACCGCATGGAATGCAGGTGATGCTTGGGATCATCATGGGGGTCCAACCCAAGATTTGCACGACTCTGACTTTGAATGTTACAGTCATTGTGGCATTGAATTCCAGGGTGGAAACATCAGTTTAATTGTTTTAGTGACCAGAAAACAAATTTTGATATGCGTCGGCTTACCCAAAATGAAAGGTTACGTGCCCTTGGCATGCTACAGATCGGCACAACACAGGCGGTTGTGGCGCGGACGATGAATGTTTCTCAGTCTGTCATAAGCAGGCTATGGTCCAGATACCGTGATACACAATCTGTACAGGACAGACCACGCTCAGGTCGAACAAGGGCGACAACTCAAGCCCAGGATCGATTTATCCGTACCTTGGCCTTGAGAAATCGTGTCATCACAGCAAATCAGACCAGCGCTCGTCTTCCAACAGACACTGGTATGAGAGTGAGTGGCCAGACGATTCGGAATCGACTGCATAGGGGTCACCTTCGCGCCCGACGTCCTCGCGTGATCCCTTGTTTGAGAGATCATCACATTCAGGCAAGACGTCGTTGGTGTAGGGATCGTCAACACTGGGATAATCGACGCTGGAGCAATGTGATGTTTTCAGATGAGTCAAGGTTCACTGTTGATTTTTTGGACAGACGTAGGAGGGTGTGGCGTCGTCGAAACGAGCGCTTCCAAGACGTTAACGTCATCAGACATGCTCGATTTGGGGGTGGTTCTGTTATGGTGTGGGGAGGCATCACTGTTGCTGGAAGAACGGCTTTACATGTTGTTGCAGGGCGTGTTACAGGCCAGTACTACCGGGACAACATCTTGGCAGTCCATGTTGTGCCGTTTGCACGACGTCATGGCCGCCGTTTCATCTTCCAGGATGACAACGCAAGATGTCACAGGGCCAGGATCGTTACAGGTTACCTCCAACAACAGAACATCACCACATTACCTTGGCCAGCACTGAGTCCCGACCTCTCCCCCATCGAGCATGTCTGGGACATGCTTGGACAGAGGTTACGTCAACGTCAACAACGTCCTGCCAATGTCCAAGAACTTGCTGCTGCGTTGCAACAGGAATGGGACAATCTGGACCAAAATGACCTTAGACGTCTCATTAGGAGTATGCCACGTCGGATCAATGCTTGTTTGGCAAACAGAGGAGGATTTACCCGTTACTGACTTGGTTGTGATGCTGTGGTAACTTTGCTGTTTGACCCCGGGTATCATTTTACCCTTATAATGGTCAGTCTGTGCCTTACTTAGTCTAACGATCATTTGGAATAAATCGATGAATGTGAACTTCATTTCATTTTGTCATTTGTTTCTTCGTCAGTTTCATTAGGTGACTTTAATAACACTTAAAAATCAAATATCCCCTACTTTTTTTGAATAGTATATTAAAATAATATATAATACAAATGTTTAGAGAAATATATTAAATTAATTAATATCTAAAGATTGATATTTATTAATAAATAAAATAAAACCAAGTACGAACAATCCTAAAAAAACGGTATAGGCAAAATAGTGTAATAAGGCAAAATAGTGTAATCAGCATATGGACTGTTCACCGTGTACAAAATACACGACAAACAGTGGTAACAGGTGTCCGGAAGAGTAAGCTTACCCTGCCTGGCGCCACACCCGCCATAGCTGCATCCAAACTATTAGGCGAAATCTCGGTAAAATAGCGTGATTGGCCAATAGACTATCGGTATGCAAAATGCACATATAGATTTTTAGATTATATTATATATAATTTACACATGCACAACTTGCTAATGAAATATAATAATACAAAACAATACAAACCTGACTGTGTAAATGCACTGCTATTTTTATTATAGGTAATCAGTTTATATTAATAACAGGCTATTGCCTACACATGAACATAAACAATTCATATGAGCGGCTTATCTGATGGCCCCATTTCACTCCCAAAGAGATAAACTGTCAAAAGTGAAAATGGACGTTTTTTGATTTCTGTCTTAATAATGAGTAATTGCTCCACCAATCCTTCCTTGAAGTGTCAAATTTGACAATGAACCCCTCCCACGTGTATGGCGGTTCTGTTGGGGCGATAAGTTCTTCATCTGTGAAAATACACTCAAAGCATGTCAAGTGTCCATGACTATTTATCATATCGCAACCTCCATAGGTATTTGCATTTCAGTATCCCCTACATTTTTTGAAGAGTATAAAACATATACAAAAACGGATGAAATAAGACTTTAAATAATAATTATTCATGAAAACCGAAGGTGGTAGTATATGGTCTTTCATGTTGATACTTTATTTGATAATAATTGGTAGTACAAAGGCTTTGAATAATGTATTGACAAACTTTATATAGCTTGGGGATTGAACAGCTGATATACGATTTGTAATGCTTTGGTGTCTGGAGTACTGTAAACAGCCTTAAGAAGTAGCATTGCAGAAGGGAAGAGGGCAACATGCACGGTTCTAATGCTAAGCGCAGGTGGACTGCACCACACACTAACATGTATACAAGACAAATTTACAGACACAATACGCACATATCAGATCAATTGAATGGATCCGGCGGCTAACCGTAAGCGTCCACTGCGTTTTACAGTGATATAGACTATCCTTCCGACCCCTTATATCATTTCAATTAAAGTTACTGTGTCTGATTTGTATTTTTCGGAAAATATCAAATTGATCAAGGTTTAATCAACGCTAATGTACTCAGATTGTTATCTGAACAGTTAATGAAGAAAACAAAATCAAATAACCAACGTTCAATAATCGCCCGGGTTGCATTCAATCGGATTTAAAACAAGAGCAGGTGTCGCTCTTTTCTGTTTCGTGTGACGTGTGCCATCTGCGCTAAGCACAATGTTGAAAACGGAATGGTTAGTTTACCGCCCCTTCACCAGTATAACGTGTTTTGGGGATTACACATTGGGGCATGTCGTATTACATGATATTCATTTGGCTAAACATGACCCAGTAAACTTTTAATATACCTGTAGGAAATTTGTATTTTATAGCTGTGGAAAACGACTATCCTCCCGACCCTTTATATTATAATCTATATCCTAGGGTTAGTGAATTAATTATTTCGTTTAAACGGATTAATTATTTCGATTAATCGAATTAATTAATTGAATTTGAAGAAAAGAAATAATATGTTAAAAAAAACAATCGTGGTCTCTATCGTTATCGATATGTGGTCGGACTTGAGGCGGTATCCCTGAAACTGCAACACAAACTAGGTAACTTTTGGATTAACACATAGTTCAATTTTATTCAATAATTCGCTTGTGCGTAGGGTATTTAGCAGTGGAGGGAAACGGTTGGACAATCTACCCTGCTCCTTTTCACGTCAATTGAAACAGCTCCATGATGACAGATCTCGTGTTCAATAGGTTTTCGTAATAGAGACCATGTGAGAGGTGGGACTCTATGAAGCATTGGTGACATAAAGGGATGAACCGGGTTCCCGGGTTCCTCCTCCCCCCTGTTCTGAAAACCTTATGAACACGAATGAGGATACACTTTAAATCATTTCTTTTCTTCATATATTGGTTCGAAGCATTGGGGTTAGTAAGAGAACGAACACTGTCGTTTCTGCTACCTTCCGATCCAGAGACCCAATCCCTCAACATTATCCCATTACGAAAACATTGTGAACCCGATAGAAGCAATAGTTTTTAACAAATGTTTGGGGTATTAACCATTGGGTTCATAAGCGTATGCATGAGTCACGGTGGCTAAGTGGGTAAGACGCTCGCTCGCTAACCTGGAGGACGCGGGTTCGTTCCCGGTGCTAGCCGAGAAAGTACATCTGGATTTTGCGGCGTGATTTCCAGTAAACACTTTGGCGTGCACGTAAAAGATCCATTGACAGTTGCAATGTGATATAAGAGTAGGCTGCAGCGCACTGTCCGGCTAAAATTTTCATCATAGCACACTGTATGGCGTATGCCTGGCTTCAATACCCCAGACAAAGCAGAAGAGTAGGACGTTAAACTCTATTTCATTTCATTTCATAAGAGGATGAACCCCATCAATTTTTCAGTTTTCTGTGTTGGTTGTCTAGTGGTGCGCGTGAAACCATGAGGTCTATCATCGAGTCAAGTGGTGTTGTTTCGATTGACAGCTTGTACGTGACAAAGAGTATGGTTGCCTGTCCAACATCGTGGGTCTTCACTGGGTCCTCCCGTTTCCTCCCACTGCTAAATACCCCCACGCGAAAGCGAAGTATTGATATAAAACTGAACCATGTGTTAGTCCCGAAATGACCTAGTTTTTTTGAGGAAGTTCTAGGGTTACCAAATTGGGTGTTTAAGTGTACACGGGACCACGGTTGTTGGTCCAATCCAAACTTGACAGCTCTCCGTATCTAGCCCTCTGTCCTGCATCATTGACAAAAACCAGATAATCTTTCTTGACAGCTTTCATTGTCTGGCCCTCCGCCCTGCATCACTGACAAAAAAACAGATGAACTTTCTCGGCCAGCAACGGGAGCTAACCCGCGACCCTAAAGCTAGCGAGGTAGCGTCTTAGTCTTACCTACGTGAGCTCTTGAATACCCCTAAACATATGTTAAAATAAAAACTATTGCTTCTATCGGGTTCACAATGTTTTCGTAATGGGGATAATGTTGGGGAACAGGATCTCTGGATCAGAAACGACAATGTTCGTTCGCTCATTAACTCCAATGCCTCACACCAATATATGAAGAAAAGGACTGATTTAAAGTGTATCCTCATTCGTGTTCATAAGGTTTTCAGAATAGGCAGAAGAGGAACACGGGAACCCAGTTCATAGCTGTGGAAAACGATTGTCCTTCCGGCCCTTTATATTATAATCTATACCCTCTTTAATTCTAGTGACTGTCTGTGAACCTAATCCTTGTGAAAATGGTGGTACCTGTTCACCAACTGACAACAGTTACAGCTGTAATTGTTCTACTGGATATCTGGGTCAACTCTGTGACGGTGAGCTACATTTTTAGTTATGGTGACCCACAATAACCTTTAGATGTGTACCCGTAACATTCTTGTCTTATAATTGGGTACCATTCTAAGATTCCCTACGTTATAAAATAAAATAAAACCAAGTAGGAACAATAAAATAAAGCTAAGTACGAACAATCAAAACCATCAGACAATATTCAAAGTCCTAAAGAACGGTATCTACCAAATCAGCAAATAGTCGTTAAGTAAGGTGACTGGGGGTGGGGGGGGGGGTCATAAAGATCTGTGGACAGACGGCTAAATTCTAAAGTTATTGTTTCTTCAATTCATTAAATATATTAAAATAATACCAAATACAAACGTTTAGAGAAATATATTAAATTAATTAATATCAATAGATTGATATTTATGAAATGACATATATAGATTTTTAGATTATATTATATACTCAGCCAAATTAAAAACTTGACACTGATGAATTTCAACAAATTTTTTTTTCTGTTAAGTCAAATAAATTTTAAAGCGTTTCTAACGATAGTAAGTAGTAAGAAGCCTTTAATTTCATAAAATTGTAAAGTCACGTAGATCACGTGACTTTTGAGCATATAAAGATGAAAAACCTGAAAAACACGTGCAAACACAAACTCGTGAGGTCAATCGATGCAAGTTTGCTTAAACTGAACACGCACACGTAACTTGAACTGGAGAAAGAAATTAGAATTGTTATTTTCATCTTTGTTAGAAAATGCCTCGCCTTTCAAATGTAGAACGTCTACGTGCTGAAGGTAGGCTCTATGCTGGCCAGTCTGTGGTCACTGTTGCGAGAGCCTTTAATTGTTCACGTCAGAGAATAATTAATCTTAGAATGAGAGTGCTTCAAACTGGAACTATTGCCGACAGCCCAAGGGCGGGAGCGCCACGTGTGACGTCACTCCAGGAAGATCAAGCAATACGATTACGTCATCTTAGAAACACATTTGTCACTGCAACCTCCACAAGTAGAGAGATGTTTGGTGGAAGGGTAACTGCACAAACTGTTCGAAATCGCTTGCAGGCTGCTGGTCTTCGAGCTCGGAGGCCCTATAATGGACCAATATTGACACCTCTTCATCGCCGTAACCGACTTGTGTGGGCCACAAGACACATAAGATTTACTCAAAGACAGTGGAATTCGGTTGTCTTTAGTGACGAATCTCGATTTACTTTGAGATTTGCCGATGGCAGGGTCCGAGTGTACCGCAGACGAACTGAACGTTACGCTCAAGTATGCGTCAGAGAAGTTGACCGATCTGGTGGCGGCAGCGTCATGGTTTGGGGTTCTTTTTGTGCACATGGACGTTCTCCTCTTGTTGTTGTCCAATTCAACTTAAATGCTGTCCAGTACAGGGATCAGATTTTGCAACCTGTTCTTCTTCCGTTTATGCAGAGACATGGGCCTGGACTAACGTTTCAACAAGACAATGCTCGACCCCATACAGGAATTGCTACGCATATTTTTTTAAGAAATGCCGGTGTCCAAGTCCTGGATTGGCCGTCGCTTAGCCCCGACCTTAATCCTATTGAACACATCTGGGAGGAACTGGGTCGACGTGTTCGTCAGCAAGTGAATCCACCACTGACGTTGCAGGACCTTTAACATGCTCTTGCTGAGCAGTGGCGACGTCTTCCTCGGGTAGTGTTTACTAATGTTCTGAGATCCACGAGAAGACGTTGTGTGGCAGTACGAGACGCTAGAGGAGGCCACAACCGTTAATAAACACTTTATTCCGATTGTTCTCCAAGTCTGTGAATTTCATTTCGGGGGGGGGGGGGGTACTGTGACATCACGAACGTTATCAATGTCAAGGACTTTCGGCGAGACGTATTCTTGCTTTCTGTTGATGTCAAGGTCGTCTGTGCACAACATAACACTAAAATAGTTGCATATTAAAAATCTAGTCCCAAAAATCCCGAGTGTCAAGTTTTTAATTTGGCTGAATATATTTTATAGCTGTGGGAATCGACTGTCCTCCCGGCCCTTTATATTATAATATATATCCTCTTTAATTCTAGTGGCTGTCTGTGAACCTAATCCTTGTGACAATGGTGGTACGTGTTCACCAATTGACAACAGTTACAGCTGTAATTGTTCTACTGGATACTTGGGTAAACTCTGTGAAGGTGAGTTACATTTTAGTTATATAGGGTAACCATGGATAACCTTTAGATGTGTACCCGTATCATTCTTGTCTTATAATTGGGTACTATTCTAAGATGGGGTATAAGGTACATTACTAAACACGTAGTACATGTTGTAATAGTGATCGTTTCTAAGCCAAGTCATAAGGCGGGTCGCGATGGCTAAGTGGGTAAGACACTGGCTCGCTAGTCTGGAGGTCTGGTTTTCGATTTTCCGGCATGGTTCCATCTTGTCCCATGTATACATTGGCGTGCACGTAATTAGTTACAGTGATCATCAGTATGTGTTTATATCCATATATAACGTCCAGTTATATTTATAACCATTACCAAATGATTTGATAATATTAATTACCTACGTTATAAAATAAAATAAAACCAAGTACGAACAATCAAAACCATAAGACAATATTCAAAGTCCTAAAGAACGGTATCTGCGAAATAGTGTAATCAGCAAATAGTTGTTAAGTTAGGTGACTGGGGGGTTTCATAAAGATCTGTGGACAGCGAAATTCTAAAGTTATTATTTCTTCAATTTATTAAATATATTAAAATAATATATAATACAAATGTTTAGAGAAATATATTAAATTAATTAATATCTAAAGATTGATATTTATTAATAAATAAAATAAAACCAAGTACGAACAATCCAAACCATTAGACAAAATTCGAAGTCCTAAAAAAACCGTTTTGGCAAAATAGTGTAATAAGGCAAAAAAGTGTAATAAGGCAAAATAGTGTAATCAGCATATGGACTGTTCACCGTGTACAAAATACACGACAAACAGTGGTAACAGGTGTCCGGAAGAGTAAGCTTACCCTGCCTGGCGCCACACCCGCCATAGCTGCATCCAAACTATTAGGCAAAATCTCGGTAAAATAGCGTGATTGGCCAATAGCCTATCGGTATGCAAAATGCACATATAGATTTTTAGATTATATTATATATAATTTACATATGCACAACTTGCTAATGAAATATATTAATACAAAACAATACAAACCTGACTGTGTAAATGCACTGCTATTTTTATTATAGTTAATCAGTTTATATTAAAAACAGGCTATTGCCTACACATGAACATAAACAGTTTATATGGGCGGCTTATCTGATGGCCCCATTTCACTCCCAAAGAGATAAACTGTCAAAAGTGAAAATGGACGTTTTTTTATTTCTGTCTTAATAATGAGTAATTGCTCCACCAATCCTTCCTTGAAGTGTCAAATTTGACAATGAACCCCTCCCACGTGTATGGCGGTTCTGTTGGGGCGATAAGTTCTTCATCTGTGAAAATACACTCAAAGCATGTCAAGTGTCCATGACTATTTATCATATCGCAACCTCCATAGGTATTTGCATTTCAGTATCCCCTACATTTTTTGAAGAGTATAAAACATATATAAAAACGGATGAAATAAGACTTTAAATAATAATTATTCATGAAAACCGAAGGTGGTAGTATATGGTCTTTCATGTTGATACTTTATTTGATAATAATTGGTAGTACAAAGGCTTTGAATAATGTATTGACAAACTTTATATAGCTTGGGGATTGAACAGCTGATATACGATTTGTAATGCTTTGGTGTCTGGGGTACTGTAAACAGCCTTAAGAAGTAGCATTTCAGAAGGGAAGGGGGCAACATGCACGGTTCTAATGCTAAGCACAGGTGGACTGCACCACACACTAACATGTACACAAGACAAATTTACAGACACAATACGCACATATCAGATCAATATATATCCTCTTTAATTCTAGTGGCTGTCTGTGAACCTAATCCTTGTGAAAATGGTGGTACCTGTTCACCAATTGACAACAGTTACAGCTGTAATTGTTCTACTGGATATATGGGTAAACTCTGTGACGGTGAGCTACATTTTAGTTATATATGGTGACCATGGATAACCTTTAGATGTGTACCCGTATCATTCTTGTCTTATAATTGGGTACCATTAGATAATCACCCGGGTTTCATTCAATTGGATTTAAAACAAGAGAAGGTGTCGATCTTTTGTGTTTCGTGTGACGTGTGCCATCTGCGCTAAGCACAATGTTGAAAACGGAATGGTTACTTTACCGCCCCTTCACCAGTATAACGTGTTTTGGGGCTTACACATTGGGGCATGTTGTGTTACATGATATTCAATTGGCTAAACATGACCCAGTAAACTTTTATTATACCTGTAGGAAATTTGTACTTTATAGCCGTGGGAAACGAATATCCTTCCGACCCTTTATATTATAATCTATATCCTCTTTATTTCTATCAATGACAAAAAAACAGATAAACTTTCTGGGTCAGCACCGGGAGCTAACCGCGACTTCCAAGCTAGCGAGGTAGCGTATTACTCTTACCCACATGAGCTTGTGAACCCAATGGTTAATACCCCAAAACATATGTTAAAAACTATTGCTTCTATCGGGTTCACAATGTTTTCGTAATGGGGATAATGTTGGGGGGCTGGGTCTCTGGATCAGAAAGGACAATGTTCGTTCTCTCGTTCACTCCAATGCTTCACACGAATATATGAAGAAAAGGACTGACTTAAAGTGTATCCCCATTCGTGTTCATAAGGCTTTCAGAATAGGGGGAGGAGGAACACGGGAACCCAGTTCATAGCTGTGGAAAACGACTGTCCTCCCGACCCCTTATACTATAATCTATATCCTTTTTAATTCTAGTGGCTGTCTGTGAACCTAATCCTTGTGAAAATGGTGGTACCTGTTCACCAACTGACAACAGTTACAGCTGTAATTGTCCTGCTGGATATTTGGGTAAACTCTGTGACGGTGAGCTACATTTTAGTTATATAGGGTAACCATGGATAACCTTTAGATGTGTACCCGTATCATTCTTGTCTTATAATTGGGTACCATTCTAAGATGGCGTATAAGGTACATTACTAAACACGTAGTACAGGTTGTAATAGTGATCGTCTCTAAGCCATCCACCCCTAAGTCATAAGGGGGTGGGGGAGGTCACGGTGGCTAAATGGGTAAGACGCTGGCTCGCTAGTCTGGAGGTCGGGTGTTCGACTCCTCCATTGGCCGAGTAAGTCCATCCGGATTTTCCGGCACGGTTCCTCCTTGTCCCGTGTACACATTGGCGTGCACGTAAAAGATTCCTTGACAGTTGGAATTCCATATAAGAGGAGGCCGTAGTGCCGCTGTCCGGGCAACATTTCCCTTATAGCACAATGTATGGCGTATGCCCGTCTTCATTAGCCCAGTTCGGAGCAGAACAGTACGACATTAAACCTAAATTCATTTCATTTCCTAAGTCATCAATATTCATGGCAACCTGATAGAAAATGCAAAATCACACGCCTTTCTTCGATGCTATTATCAACAAATAACATCCACGCGGCCTGCACAGACAAAAGTAGAGAATACCTAGTCGAACTACCATGTTTGTTTTGTGAAGCGGGTGGGCAATATTTTTATCAAATCTGTTTTTTTTTTCATGTGGCCCTGTTCATGCCGTGTTCAGACCATATATCTGCAGTAGCACCATGTATGGAAGCAAACTTTATTTTAATAACGCCAACATTTGTTTCTTAAATTCAATTTCAGTTAATACCTGTGATGTACACAACCCCTGTTTAAATGGTACGTGTTATATATCAGAACGTGGTGTGAGTTGTAGCTGTCCTCCTAACTTTCCAGGAATCTATTGCGAGAGTAAGTTGGTTCTGCTTTGCTCTCGTATAAAGAAAATCACATTAATATACCGAATCCCGATAACCAATTGCTGTGTTTGCAATAAACGACAAATAGCGGATTTCTCAAACGTACTTTGCATAAAGCAAGGTTATCATGATTTCCTTGCGCCGTAAGTGACATTTATAAAACACGTGCGGTGTTTATTTCTCTTTCACATAATTATATTTGTTTACGTAATTAATTTCCCTTGAGCGCATATAAACATTCGTATTCCCCGGGAACTACGAGGTATCAATAATGGGAAGTTAAATCGGACAAGGTACTGTCTTGAAGGAATTTGCATCATTTGCCTTGCGAAGTCTGAATTTCTCCAATAAATGAATTGCAGTTAGTGACATGTCATGATTTGCTATTAAATAATGTTTTTATTAATAATTAATAGCGATTGATTGTAATTTTGATGAGAGTTACTGTGCATGGAAACAGTCGTCCGATGATATTTTTGATTGGATAAGAAACAGCGGCAGAACACATTCAGGTGGCACAGGACCACAAAATGACCATACAGGCGGTAAGATTTTGTTTTTTAACAGTTGCTAAAATTGATGAATTACTGAAAAATCGCGAAGTATACATATGCAGGAAGAAATCTGATTCAATGTTATATAAACGGATAGTTAGACAGGCAAGGTAACATATGCTGAAAGAAATCAGATACAATGTTAAATAAACGCACACCAACTATAATATCACTCTTCATCACAATATATTTTTTTAAAATTTGCTTTTAATGGCTGCCATGGGAATCTAGATCATAGATTGGTTTCTTGTTTGTAATAAAGGACTCGACTCAGATAAAAGACTTATCTTTTAAAACTAAATTTAAATCGTTATTAAAATATAATTGTGATGACAAATATCTTCAAATCATTCATTTTAAATTAGGAAAACATCCATGCCATTTTCCAAAGCAATATAATTTACTCGTCATGTAATTATTATAACTCTTTAGAATCGGATGAATAAGACCGATTTAACGATCTCAATCTAAATTAATTGAAGTTTCTTTGAAATGTCAACGGCTCCGTTATTAACTAGGACAAATGGAATTTCTTCTAGTTTGATTCTCTTCCAGATGGATCATACATATATATCGAAGCAACAAACCCACGAAAACCAAATGAAACAGCGAGACTAGAGAGTCAAGAAATTGTCCAGTCTACATCTACACAATGTTTTAACGTTCTGGTATCATATGTATGGAGTAAAAATGGGTAAGAGCGGACGGGGAAACGAATTCACATATCAGATATTACTGTGAATCTGTTCTCTTTTAGATCACGACTGACCGATTGTCAGAACAGCTGATTGTTGGGTTAAAACTCAATACTGTTACATAACTATTATCTATTCTGTATTTTTGAAACCGACCCACCACAACAACACTCTTTGTCCCTGTATTCGAATCCTAACAAAACTTCTTCTGGTCATGACTTCAATAAATGATTTCAACAACTGATATTTTCAATATTTTCAGGTTATCTCAACGTGTACATCAAAACAAATCAGACGGAATTGGGGGATGCCGTATGGACAAGAGCTGGTAACCAGGGTGATGTTTGGACACAAGGCTATGTAAATATTTCACAAATACCATTTTTATATTCGGTAAGTTCCTTTACGTCTTCCACAAGTAGGATTTGAATAATCGACAAGTTTCAAAACCTATCGGACTTATTGGATGATGCTTTATGGACAAGCGAAGATGATAAAGGTGATATTTGGCAGCAGTTTTATAATATAAGATTCCATATCAAGATGAGCTCATTCATAGAGAACGGGGGGGGGGGGTGACCGAATAATTTAACGCGTGTCATTGGGTCAAGTGGTGTGAGGTCGAATCCCCGCTTGTATGCGACAGGGAGTAAGATCGCCTGTCCTCCTGATCTTCTCACTATTATAGCAAATTGTTGAAATACATTGAAGAATATGTTAGTCCCGAGTGGACGTTATATCCCATTTCAATCCCTCTCCCGTATGCGACAAGTGGTAGGATCGCTTGCCCAGGTAGCTGTTAATACAACAGAACTACAGAGCGAATTTGTCAGCCATGTGAAATGAATTTCCTATTATTGTAGATGTCAAAACATAAACGTTTTAAGATTCGTTGAAATATTGAATTGTGTTGTAGATTGTATTTGAAGGAGTTATAGGACCTGACTTTACATCAGACGCAGCTCTTGATGATATTACACTTGTCGAGGGAGACTGTCCAGGTAATTATTCATTAATTTTATAAACATAATACAGTATATATATAAGATGTTGTTACATATGTTGTTCACATTCGAAACGACATCTACATAGTGATGAAAACAATCCCTATTACGTCATGTCAACACAATATAGTACAGAGTTGGTGTTAATACACGACGAGTTATCGTTCTTTTTACATTATACCGTAGATGACTGTGAACTCTAAACACGATGAAGCAAGAATGGTAGGCACCAGGTGCCCTAACAGGTGCCCTAAAGACATTAATATTCTCGTGTAGTTTGGGGACACTTTTAGTCAGGAATTTACGTTATTTATAATAAGTTGGTAAGCAAGCGGTCAGTTTTTCAAACATTTTCTACAGCACGGGGGAGAGACCTCCGGGTCTGCCCCCCTCCCCTCGTCCGCCCCTGCGATAAAGTTTTCAATTAAATTTATTACCACTTACCAACTACACATATCAACAAACAGAATCTCTTATTACATTAAGTTAGGATATTATACTGACCACTGAAATTCTGTTTATGCCGTAATTATTGTAAACCAATTTGATTAAAATCCGATTTGTCAATTTGTTGTTCGTTTTATTAATACTTCGTATTTCATATTTTACCGGTGTTCATTTTTTTTTATTAATATTTTCAAGTGAAAATATATCTAATGTCCCTTGCACGACCGTACCGTCTGCACTCCTCTGGGTTTTTTTGTTGACATAAAAAATCGTTGTATTAGATTATATTTATTTTTCCAATCACTTTTAATATTTGTTTTATGTTGAATCGTCTTATTTCGTGTTTTATCGTATTAATATACGTATTCTTTCTTCGACTGCCGACTAATGCCATCATGTAACAAACTGCATTATAAAATCTTAACAAAAATTAAACACTTTATGAAATGCGTTATTAATGATGTATATGAAATTGTATTTTTCAGGAGGTTAAGCTTGGGCAGATTGGCTGCGTTAACGACATGGTCTGCATCGTTATTCTGATTCTGTATACATATGGAGATATCACTTTGTTACTCTGCTTATTCACCCGATTAGATTTTATTACATACTTCGAGAAGGTATCTGTTGAGTAATAAAACCTTCTAGTAGTTTATTGAGGACTGGCCGTCCTTACCGCACGGTACAAATAAAACCTTCTAGTAGTTTATCGACGTTCGGGTGTTTCCGGAGTCCAAAATGGCCGCTTTATATAAATGAGAATTTTGGGGATAACTAACCCGAACCCTAACCCTTTTTAAAAGACTGAACTTGGGTCTAATTTAGTTTTTAAATCTCTTAAAAGGGTTAGGGTTAGGGTTCGGGTTAGTATTCCCCTAAATACTCATTTGTATAAAGCGGCCATTTTGGTATGAGTTCTGGCTTGTTCTGGAATTTGTTGCTTCTAGTGGTGATAATATTTGTACCGTGCGCTAAGGACGGCCAGCCCTCGATAAACTACTAGAAGGTTTTATTACTCAACAAATACCTTCTCGAAGTATGTAATAAAATCTAATTGGGTGGCTTATTATCTATGGAGAAATCCCTTCCATATTTGCTTTATTTTTATTATTCTCATATTGAGAAATCCCTTTGCTATTTGGGTTATTATTATTATTATTTTATGGAAAAGAGACTTCGCTATTTGATTTATTATTATTATATGGAGAAATCTCTTTGCTATTTGGCTTATTATTATTATGATTATTGAGTAATCTCTTTGCTATTAGGGTTATTATTATTATTATACTGAGAAGTCACTTTGCTATTCGTTTCGATTGCTTTTTTGATATATGGAAACGTCACTTTTCTCTTTGGGTTATTAATACATGGATAATTTACAAAACTCTCTTCGATTTCGATAATTCAGTATTTTCAACCTCCAGGTTAAAGGGCTGCATAGAAAGGGTCAATATGTAAGTAGGCCATTGCATTCTAAATAAGACATACCGGATAGAATTTACTCACGCAAATATTCCAAAAGATAACTCTTACTGGCAACTATAAGATGGGAATAAAAAAAAGATTGGCCTGACGGGTTGTAACCCCTTTGTGCAAACTTATCTACACTGACGAGAACATAATAAGCTTCCATGTTAGAGGTTTGGAATATGTATTTGTACGATGGATTATATTTTACAACAATGAAGAAGTTGGTTCATACTGGACAAAATTAGTTTATTATTTATGACGGCTCAGACAATAGTATAAAAATATCGCACTGTAACAATTAATAATATTATGTAATTTTGTGGTGTATTAAACTATGCAATTTGCCCCGTGTGACAACGTGATCTTACCTTTCATCAAATTGAACGATCATTTAGGTACATAGAACTTTATGACCGCTGGATAGTTTTGATAATATATGATATTGACGTTTCACCTCTGTATAAACTTTATGTTAAGGCACGGACTGCCTACGGTCCTATTAAACATCTAATTAATTCAATATGTTCTTTACCAGCTGCACATGATCTGTGTATAACACTCGGCAGAACTTCAAAGAGAATGTAGTAGTGGTCAGTGTATCATACTATGACCTGACAATGACATCCAAGGAAATATGCAGTGTAGTTACAGACATCATAATTTCATAAATAAACAATACCGTATATGGTGATCACTACTGTCCATCTTCCCTATATTGTAAGCAGGCGTTTACTGACAGTAAGTCAGACTTGGAATAGAGCTCCTCCCGAATTATGCCTATTTCATGTTCTTAATAAAGGTCTTACCAATTATGCTGATCTTCTGTTATCTGTAGTGTTACACCCGTAACAAATTTTTTGCAAATATTATCCCTACCCTGGGTCGTGAGTTAATAAGTGGTTTCGGTATTTTCATAAAAGGTTTATACATAATTTTCTAAACTAAAATGGTCGTAACGACAGCAATGGAAGCCGTTGTGGCTCAGTGAGCAATGATCAGGATCAAAAAGGTGGTCCCAGTTTCGATCCCAGTGTTGGTAAAAAAAAATACCACCAGATACGTCAGCGAGGGTTTCAATTGCCTGCAGTGCAGTACCGTGGGGTAGCGCTTGCCAGTAGTGCAGTACCAGGGGTTTAGCTTGCCAGTAGAGCAGTACCAGGGATTTAGCTTGCAAAAGCAATTTGAAATTATTATTTTTTTTTAAATTTACATGGATTCAAACCGGAAATCTGGCCAAGCTAGAAAACTGCAAATCCGAAGATCATTGTTCATAAAAAAATTATTTTCCATTCAATTAATATTCCAGTCATCTTTTTTTGAAGTTGGAAACATTAAAGATACATTATGGGAAAGTCGATAACGAGGTGCCAGTTCTCACAATATAATAGTTAAAAACTAGATAATGTAAGGGCAATTTGCTGAAAATTGCATTCAAATTGACCAACTATGAACCGATAACTAAGCGGTTGAAATTTCCGCCTAGCCTCATCATCATTACTAAAGTCAGTACGATAAACAGTATAGTCTCTATTATCTATTTAATGGTTAAATCGTTAAGGAAAGTTATGCAGTAAATCGGCTCATAATCCAGTAAAGATCGCAGGCTATCATAACCATCTAGAGTTGATTAGCTCGTGCATAATGTATGTTTAATTCTCTTTTTCCCATAAAAAAATGCCGTATTATTTATTTATCGTTTCTCACCTTGTAATGGTACAGGCGGGTTTTAATAATCAAAACAAATCACATGTCATCAAAGAACGCCTTTATCCGTCATACGTAATATTATCACGTGACATTGTTATGTTTTGTTTCGCTTGGGAAGCGAGAGAAAGAGAAATGGGGCTTAACGTCCACACGACACAAAGGTTCATTTTTTTTTCATTAATTCGGGCAAGGATCTATAGCAATGGGAGGAAACCGGCGAAAATAAACGGGGTAGGACAGGCGACCCAATTCCTTGTCACGTACAACCGGGGAATCGTATCGACGCCAACTGACTCAATGAGAGTCCTTATGATACTATGGTACAGCGCGCACACGGTAGTCATTAGGTCATCCACCCCATTTTGGTAACCGTTTCATTATACACGATAGAACTCCAATATAGTAAACTATAATAAAACCAGCGGCTGCCAGGCATGATATGCCCACATTTTCGAGAGATGGATCAAGAACAAGCTAAAAAGAAATTGATTTTTCCTACAATCAAGGGCCTTAAATCAGGAAATTACAATTCGATATGCGCAAATATCGAAAGGAACCGAGATCTTTGGTTATAAACTTACATTTCAATATTAACAAAATCGGATAAAAATTGTGACCTCTATAGGGGCCACAACCTTGATAAACCATATTTTTACGCTATTTGAGAACGAAGGGCGGCCATTTTGTCTGTCAATTTTGGGCCGATTTTCACGAAATTCGAACTCAGTCGTCCTTAGGGTCTAACGGTGATATAATAATACGGTTTTTTGAATCGGATAAAAAGTATGACCTCTATAGGGTCCACAAGCTAAAATCGCGATTTTTCGTACAATCAGGGGCCATAATTCAGGAAGTTACGTTCCGATATGCGAGAATATCGAACGGAACCGAGATCTTTGGGTTATAAACCTACATTTCAAGTTTCATCAAAATAGGATTAAAATTGTGACCTCTATAGGGTCCACGACTTTGACATACCATATGTTTACGCTATTTGAGAACGGATATCATAATACGTTTTTTTTAAAATCGGATAAAAATTATGACCTCTATAGGGTCCACAAGTTAAAAACGCGATTTTTCGCACAATCAGGGGCCATAATTCATGAAGTTACGTTCCGATATGCCCGAATATCGATAGGAACCGAGATCCTTGGGTTATAAGCATACCTTTTAAGTTTAAACCAAATCGGATAAAAATTATGACCTCTACATTGTTCAAAAGCTAAAAACGTGATTTTTCGTACAATCAGGGGCCATAATCCATGAAGTTATAGTCCGATACATGCCAATATCGTAAAAAAACGAGATCTTAGGGTGATAACCCAATATTGCAAGTTTCATTGAAATCGGATAAAAATTGTGACCTGTAGACTGTTTACAAACAATTGTGGACGGACGGACGGACGGACGGATGGACCGGGGCGACGACAACATACGTCCACATGAAAATGTGGGCGTATAAAAAAATCACATCATGTCCCAATAAATAATCTAATTTGTAGATCTGCAATTTGTCACGTGATGGTCTGAACATTATTTGTGTGGCTCTATTTGTTAATTGATAGCATATACCCCTACTGAGCGCCATGGAAAACGCATCACTTAGTTTTTCGTATAACAAAATGATCCTGTAAACATATCTTATTTATTTTGCTTCTTATTGTGAACAATATTCAAATGGGAACTCATCAATAAAAACACATTTGTACACTTATGGATGTTTAATCTGTAATCAACGGTACAAAGTCAGAGGGGTCAAAACCAAAAGTACGACACAGATGTCAGTAGCGCGTGTGTCCTCCACGGGCTCTTACGCACGCTGTGCAGCGCCGTCGCATGGAATTTACCAATGTTTGAAAGAAGGCCTGGGGCAAATTGTTCCATTCTTGAACAAGAGCAGCTTCTAAAGCAGCAATCTGTGGTCTCCGATACAGACGGCGTCCAGTCTCATCCCAGACATGTTCTATCGGTTCCATGTCCGGAGACATGGCTGGCCAGTCCAAGACATTGATGTTGTTAGCAGCCAGGTAGTCCATACTAAAATGGGCGGTATGCGGACGTGCTGAAGTTGTGGGTGCTCTCGAAACATCGGAACAACAATTGGTTGCAAGACATCATCACGGTAGGCGACCCCTGCAAATGTGTAGGGCGGTCCGGTGATGAAATGTGAAGCCTCCCGACACCATTACACTTCCCCCACCCCATCGATTCGTTTCGAAGACGCAGCAGTCTGCAAGACGTTCCCAAAGACGTCTCCACACACGTTGACGGCCATCAGCGTGATAAAGATAAAAGCGACTCTCATCACTGAAGAGCACACTTTGCCAGTCTACTCTTCTCCATGTCTGGTGTCCTTGAGCCCATATCAAACGCCGCTGACGGTGATGATCCCTGAGGATAGCTCCAACATAAGGTCGTCGTGCACGGAGTCCTACTTCTCTTAGACGAAGTCTTACGGTGTTGGCACTTACTGGTCCTTGTCTTCCGACGACTGCTGCACCTGTTCGAGTCGCTGGGCGGAATCTGTCACGCAGATTAGTGACCCGGATGTAGCGGTCTTGAGCCTGGGTTGTAACGCGTTGTGGACCAGGACGTTGATGGTCACGTGTTGATCCAGTAACTCGAACACGTTCCACCAACCTTACAATAGTGGACTGATGACAATTGAAGTGTCTGGCAATAGCACGTGTAGACATGCCAGCCCTGGACATTCCCATGGCTTCATTCCGTTGATTTTCAGTAAGTCTCGGCATCTCTAGCTCGATTCCTTCACACGTCCAACAACAAATTACGATAGATTGACGTTTCACAGTTCATGTACTGCACATTAAGTTGAAAACATGCTTTTAAAGGGCTCTCACACAATGCTGCACGTGAATATTGGGTTTTTCATGTGCATCTCGTGCAATTTTTTTTGTGCACACGGGCCGATATTTTTTGCGTTTGGGAGCATTGTGTGAAACAATAGTTCATAGTATTGCATAATATTATACACACCTAGTAATAAAATATTTGGAAAAAAAGTGATGCGTTTTCCATGGCGCTCAGTAATTATCTTGAAAGAAAAACTACGTTCCAACGTGGCAAAAATTTGGCAAAGTTTATACAAAAATGAGGTTTATAGTGTTCGCAGCGACGTAATGTGACGAGAAGATACCGACATGGATACGCCATGTAAAACCTGAAATAACGTGTTGCTTAGCACCAGACCAAGCACTATCTCTCACATTATTCACATTAAAAACATCTTCATATTTCGAACAGACGGCCATTGAGCAATCTTTACAGTAATATTCAACTCGCTTTTGTTCATGATGTGAACAAAAATCATGTGGGCTATATCATATCCAGATTTATCGGTTTCATTCACAGAACCAGCTAATTTTCTGTGGTATCTGTAGTTAATTTGAGAGTCCATGACGAATCGTCTCTATCTTATCGACGAAGAAGCTATTAAATGTATTTGCAAGATTTACATTAGAATCTGTATGGGGAAGTTTAGATTCTTTTGGACAACCAAGAAGTGATTTTAGAAAATGGTGTATTTTTCGCGGATCCTTGTAACAATCTTGAATGTGTGTTTGGCAATGCAATCGCTTAGCATCCTGGATGGCTTTCAATGAATTCGTGTTATTGTAGAGGTCCACATTTTCATCAACATCAGTAAAAGGTTCCAACACAAGCTTAGATCTGCACAAATTATTTTTCAAACTATCCCAATTAATCCCTTTAATATTTCTAGAGATATTTGTTGTGGATTGCGAGGTTTACATAAATTTAAGTTAACAGTTATGAGGAAGTGGTCGGATATTTGCCTATCTTCAACTTGTATATCTTGCACCAAAGAGGAATCACAGGGAGTAATTACCCAGTATAAAGTGTTTCCCGACCTGTGGGTTGCTTGGTCTACGTTTGATCAAGCAGAGATAAAACTCTTTTAGAATCATGTTTGGTTACATTATTGAGTTGAACATTAAAATCTCCAAGTATCAATGTATTCACTTTAGAATGT